AGCAGGGACGCGGAGGTCCCTAATGTCGCCCAGCATTTTGGACCAACGGGCCGAGCTTTCGGTGCCGAATGACCCGCGGCTGAACCCAACTAGCAGCAATGCTGATGGACGGCCCGCGGGAGAGCGAGCCCAGGGAGCCGGTCCCCCTGTCCCTGCCGGCCACTGGCCCCCAGGGAGGCTGCCGCCCACCTGAACAGAGCACTGCCCCCTGTGAGAGCCGCCGGCCCGCCCGCCCCAACTTTCACTTCGTGCCCTTTTCTTCGAAAACTTTGGGCGTCCCGGATAGTTTGGGGGTCGGTGGGGGCTTTTGTAGTAGCTGATCCCTGGGCCCAGGGAGCCGGTCCCCCTGTCCCTGCCGGCCACTGGCCCCCAGGGAGGCTGCCGCCCACCTGAACAGAGCACTGCCCCCTGTGAGAGCCGCCGGCCCGCCCGCCCCAACTTTCACTTCGTGCCCTTTTCTTCGAAAACTTTGGGCGTCCCGGATAGTTTGGGGGTCGGTGGGGGCTTTTGTAGTAGCTGATCCCTGGGGCCACTTTCGAAGTCACAGATCACCCGCCTGGCACTCAGACCCCCGGGGAACCACGCTGGGATGAAAATCCCCGTCTGCGTCCGCCATCCCCAGCTGGAGAAAGCTGCTTGCGGAGGGCTGGCTGGGCCGCGGCAGTGACAGAAGAGTTATATTTAGGCACAGGTGCCGAATGTGGCTGTCACAGGTCTAAAATGCTTTTCTGTCTTTACTCGCTGGCGTGCCTTCCCATCTATATTTAGGTGGCTTACTGTATGTAGCTTTTAAGGTCACTGGCTTTCCACGCGCTGCTGGCGATTCACAGGCGCGCTCCCTGAATTCATTGTGACCCGTTTCTGGGGAGCCCCTTCGAGGAGAGCAGACCCCCGCTTTAACTGCACATCTCAGCCCGCTGGCAGCAGGCGCCCGTGGGAAAGCCTCTGACCCTGGTTCAGGTGGAGTGTCACAGGGCACACTCGGAGTGAGCTCCTGGCTGTGTCGCATACAGGTGGAGGGACTCCGCTTTGGGGGTGATAGAATCTGCTGTGCAGTTCCCTAGAGAGGACTCATTCAGTCACTCACTCAGCAGACACCTCCCGTGTGGTCCTACTTCGTGCCAGACACACTGTGCGGGCCTTTTCTGTACGTGTCTGCATGTAGTCGCTGTCCACTTTATCTGTTGGAACCTTTTTACTTTTTCTCCTGAGTTTGTCACTGCATTATTAATGTCTCTTCAAAACTAGATTAGATCAGTTCTCCCCACCCCCTCCCTTGCTCCGGGACAACTGAGACGCTGTTGGTGTGCTGGTTTTTGTTTTGTGCCGTTGTCCTGCGTTGCTAAGCGTCGGGCAGCCTGTGTTTGTTGTCGGGTGCTCCGCATGGAGTCAGTACGCGTCTCATCTGTGGCCGGTTTAGCACGCTCGTCCCTTTCAGGCTGTTGCCGTAACTGGCTTTTGAGATGAGTTTGGTCTTTCGTTCGATTTCACTGTAACTTTTAGTTTTCATAATATTTGCAAGTTAAAAAATTATAAAAGAGCATAATAGTGCAGAAATGTTCAGAATTTGGAGGAAAACCCCCCAAGTATACATCACCCTAACCGCTATTATTGTGTTGCTTCTGAGGCTTTTCCCAGGATGACCATATTTCTCGCCGTTTCATATTTTATCACAGTTTTCCAAGTTGCCACGTGGTCCCCAAAGCCAAGGCCATTTTTTTCCCAGCGGCACAGCAATTTCATTAAGGTCCTGCGGCCGAGCATCACATTCTGAGAGTTGAGCTGGGCAGAGATGGGGTACAGGCAGGAAGCTGAATCAAGACTCGGAGCGCTGGGCCCCCAGAGGGAGGGTGGACAGACCCACTAGCGGTTGTGGGAGCCCCCGTCCCATGTGAGACCTGGCCTCTGGTTGAACGCTCCAAGTGACAGGCATTCCTTTCCTTCTTAGATCAACCATTAATTCTGTTAAGTCCAAGTGTCTTTCGATTATCCAGAATATTTGGTGTTTCTGGTGGACATTCTCACGAAGCATATTTATCTAGTCTCTGACCGACACACGGGCCCAGAAAGTCTCCGAGGGCAGCTGGCCTTGATGCACTGTGATCTTCCATGCCAGGCACCTAATCCCGACCCCTGCTCTCCTGCTGCGGAAGGGGCAGCAGTGAATGAACATATCCCAAGATCTAGCTGCCTCGAGTATGATTCTGATGTCTCTCCAAGACCTAATTTCTTTCGTTACCCAGTTATTTGTTAGCTAGTATCAACTATCATTTATTAGTTACTTATCAGATCCCAAGTGGTGATCTGTAATACAAGAGAAAACGTAGTTATCAGTCAGTTTCTATCTTCACAGCACCTTTTTCCTGGATGTTTTATGGAGCCAGCCCCATTATGGGGCATTTACGTAGACATTCGTCTCACAGACTAAACGGCACCTCTGAGGGTCGAGACCCTATGTCATCTATTCATTTCCGAATTTCCAGAACCCAGCCGTTCATCTAACAAATATTCACCAGTGTCTTCCACACGCCAGACCCTGTTCTGGGTTCGAGTCACAGTGGTGAACAAAGCCGACCGAACTCCCTGTCCTCTCACAGCTGACGCTGCAGAGGGGACGCGGTCTGAGCAGCGAGTGTCCTGTGCTGAGGAAAAGCAAGGGGTTCGGGGGAGCGGGAGCAGGACCGCAGGAAGGCGGGGGCCGAGTGTCAGGCTGGGCTCGTAGATCCGAGCAGGACCGGCCTTTACTCCGAGTGCAGTGGGCCGCCTTGGAGAGTTTGGGGCTGAGGGTTGACGCGACCGGCAGGCTGGGTGAACAGCCTGGAAGCTGGGGTGAGGACGGACGATGGGGGACCACTGAGGGAGGGTACCGCAGTCATCCGGGCACGGGGTGGTGGCCTCTGCCAGGACAGGTGTGCTGGTGGTGGTAAGGGATGGATTTTGGATAGTTTACAGTGTTCGGATTTTCTTGTAAAACTTCCGTGAACCTACAGAAAAGATGAGTGGTCCAGTGAGCATCTGCGTTTCCTTCGCCCGGTTCGGCTGTAACTATGTCGCCACACTTGCTCTGCCTGCTTCTCACATTCTATTATTATTTGCTAGAGCTTTTGAGAGGAACTTGCAGACGTCATCATCACCGTTCGCCCTGAACACTTCAACACGTTTCACCTGGGAGAAACTCCCCTCTTGTATATAACCGTAGCACGGTGGCCAAACTGAAGAAGTTTAACATCAAGGGCAAACGATTCACATTTCTTCGGTTATTCCGATGTCCCTGGTAGCCATTTTTCCCCAAGTGCAAGATCCGACCCAGGACCACACTGCATTTAGTTTCTCTCTCAGTTTTGCAGAATGTCCTTCGGTTTGGGTTTTCCCATTCTTACAACTGGGTTCCAATGAAATGCGCTTGTTAGGAACGTGACGTGGGGTATTTTTTCTGTCTTGGGGTACTGGAGAGATTTGAAGGTAGCAGCAAAAGGCCTCGTTGACAGATGAGATGGGAGGTTTGGGCGCTGCCAGCGAGCGAGACACGGAGGACTGTGGCGGGGGCAGGACTTTGTGGAAAAGGTCAGGCGTACAGGTTTGCACAGCGTGCAGCCTGCACGCAGATGGTGCTCCCGGGAGGTCTGTACTTGGCCTCCATGCTAGTAAAGCAGAAAGCACTTCTCACGAGCTGGGAGGCGGCGGCGGCTTCAGGTTAGGTCCTGGCCCGGGCTTACTGCGTGCGTCCTGTTCCACTCGACTTCCTCCTGGCCAGTGCGGCCAGCGTGGGACAAACTGTCCTTCCCTGCGGCTCTCCCCCTCATTCTCTGCAGTGGCCCTGCCACTAGCCCCTCGATAATGTCTGCCCCATGTGTCCCACTTCGCAAGAGGAGTAAGTGGAAAAATCGGGCTCCAGATCAGGGACAAAGCGGCCGCTTTGGAGGGGCGGGTGCAGGACACCTCTGTGGTTGCATTCATGTGGTGGGTTTGCTTAACGACTCAACTCAAACCTGCTCTCTTTCTTTTCAAGTTTAAGCTCATCTCCCAGGCATACGAAGTGCTTTCAGATCCAAAGAAAAGGGATATTTATGACCAGGGCGGTGAGCAGGCCATCAAGGAGGGAGGCTCGGGCAGCCCCAGCTTCTCCTCCCCCATGGACATCTTCGACATGTTCTTCGGTGGCGGAGGGCGGATGGCTAGAGAGAGAAGAGGTAAATGCTTTGAAAGACACTCGGCAGGTCATAGTTTCCAAAGTGCACGCTGCTGGAGCCGGGGTGGACCGCGCCCTAAAGGGGCCCGATCGCCACGGTGTGGCATCATGAGCGTTAGCTGTGCCCAGGCTACCTGCAGCCTCCTAGCGCGTTCAGCAATTCCCTGTCACCCTCCAGACACCATGTGTAAAAGAACAGGTGCAGTGATGAGTAGAAGGGAAGAAGGTCAAGTTCATAGTGCCCCTTCCCCCCTTTGTTGAGAACCTGCCTGCCTCTTTCAGAATGCAACAGAGTGAACGAGGGACGCGGCCCTGAGCTGCCTGGCCCCAGGCTGCCGTTTTTGAGTTCTGGGGTTTGCTCTTCCTAATTTTTCTACCTCTCACCTCCTGCCGAGGCTATGAGCTGTCGCCTCTGTTACTAGAGGTCTCTAACAGCCCCTTTCCCTGTTCGGTTTACTGTCGATAAGCTTTGGATCTCGAAACCAGATGGATAACCAGGCTTATGACAATCCTGGATAAAATCGGAGAAACCAGCTCTGCACTGGGGCTTGGGAAGGCTGCTGTGGGTCAGCAAGAGGCCGCTGCATACATGAGGCTGCACCTGTTCTCATATCGTAACTGACTTCGAGCTTCAAAAAGCATGACTGCTGAGTCTGAGCAGCATGCTGAAAATCGCAGTGTTTCTTAGGGAAAAGGCCTCGCCCTGTCGTCTGGGTGCAACGAATGGCGTAGATGTGACTAAAACCTTGGGCGTCTCTGGCCCAGTGCACTCTGCCTTGAGAGGAACAGCCAGTAAACAAGCACAGCTGGTCTCAGGCAGGGCACCAGGGAGGGTCCCGAGAGGCTGGCACAGCGCCGAGCAGACGCCCGCCGTCTGGGACACACAGGCGAGATTTAGGCAGAGCGAGTCCCCTCCTGGCCACGACTTAGAAGCAGAGCGTGTTCCTGTCGGGAAGAGCTTCCGCTGAAGGTCCAGAGGGCGCTGGTCACGCGCCCGTCCCTGAGGAGAGCTTCCTTCCTGGGTGGGGGCCTGGTGATCCCTCATTGTGACACTGTTCCAGGCGGCTCAGCGTGCTGTCCTCAGCTGTTCTTCGGAGACAAAGATGGAAAGTCTTTCCACTGACATCCATAAATGATTGAGTAATTAGCTCACAGCTAGAAAGGGCATCAGCTCTCACTGCTGGCAGAGGGCCAGAGGCGTGGGCCAGGTGTAATGGCAGCTCTGTCCTCACGGGGAAGGGAATGAACGACACGGGCACAGCTGTGAGTCTCGGCAGCGTGTCATCGGGGTGGTATTAATACACTGGAGTCAATACAGTATCACTAATGTTTTTTTCTCCCTTTGGTAAGGCAAGAATGTTGTACATCAGTTGTCTGTAACTCTTGAAGATTTATATAATGGAGTCACAAAGAAATTGGCGCTCCAGAAAAATGTGATTTGTGAGAAATGTGAAGGTAAAAATTAATTTCTGAGTGAATCTCAAAGTTCCGATCCCTTAGATCTGAAAACAATTCAGATTGTTTTATAATCCAGAAAAAAAATAAGTTATCTTTTCATGAGTGAGTGTCGAACAGGTTGCAAACAGGTGACCTGAGGGCCAAGTCTCATTTGGCCCTGTCCATTGTTTATTTGGAATGTACATTTATTTAATACATTGACAATTATTTTAAAAACTTAAAAATCAAGACAATTCACCCAACCTAGTCAGCAAACTTCCTCGGGAAAGGGCCTGATGGTAAACATTTTGAGTTTTGTGGGCCGTGGGGTCCGTCATTAACTGCACGAGCAGCTGCAGACACCGCGTACACGAGAGTGCATGTCGGAGTCCCAGCGAACCAGGACTTAGCGAACCAGGTGGCTGCCGTAGATTACTGACCCTTGACTTGAATGTAAATGTAACTTTTATTATTTGATTTTTCAAGAAAAGTCAGCTCCACATCATCTCACCGAGAACTGGTGAGCTGGGTGGCTGTCCCCAGGGACAGGGTTGTGTCTCGCTCCCTATGGCCCCGCCTACTCGCTTACCTGTAGGCATGGGTGTTACTCCACCCCGGGTGTAAGAAAGCACAGTTGATGAAGCTGTGGCAACAACTGGGCTTGGCACAGCCAAAACCACAAACGTCGGAGACCTCATGATAACACCTGCCTATCATGTGCTTGGCTGCAGTCACCCAGGCTCTTGCACATTGCTTGTCGTGACTGTAAATAGCCAGGATTGAAACCCGGGGTACAGCGAGTAGCTCATTCCCATCCTGCTGTGATGCCCGGCAGCCATGTTCCCAGGGATGAGCACAGCTGTCATTCCTGTCGCCCCCTCCCCCGCAGGCGTCGGTGGGAAGAAGGGGTCCGTGGAGAAGTGCCCGCTGTGCAAGGGCCGAGGGATGCAGATCCACATCCAGCAGATCGGGCCGGGCATGGTGCAGCAGATCCAGACCGTGTGCATCGAGTGCAAGGGCCAGGGCGAGCGCATCCACCCCAAGGACCGCTGCGAGAGCTGCAGCGGCGCCAAGGTCATCCGGGAGAAGAAGATCATCGAGGTGCACGTGGAAAGAGGTGAGGCCCAGAGGCCCGCCCCATGGGGCCGGGAGCGCTGAGCCCGCTGCGAAGCTTTGTAGGCAGCGCGCTGCTCACAGAGGTGGCTAATCAGAAAGGCGTGCTGTCCCCAGGCATGAAAGACGGCCAGAAGATCGTGTTTCACGGAGAAGGAGATCAGGAGCCAGAGCTGGAGGCTGGCGACGTCATCATTGTGCTTGATCAGAAGGACCACGGTGTCTTCCAGAGACGCGGCCACGACCTGATCATGAAAATGAAGATTCAGCTTTCCGAGGCCCTTTGTGGCTTCAAGAAGACAATAAAAACGCTGGACGACCGAGTCCTTGTGATCACATCCAAACCAGGTACTGTCTCAAACGCATGCCGCGCCGTGGCTGTGTTGGGCACGATGCTGCCGGCAACACGGCCTGGTGTCATGAGGTTGACTTCTGAACACAAGTGAGCGTGACTTGATTTTCTCTCAGTTTAAGGTCATCACTAGTGACTCGAAAAGGTCATGAATTTTTTATATTTTCCTAGAAAAAAATTCAGAGTTGCAGAAAGAGCCTCAAACAGGAATCCTTGGGGTCGAAATTCTAACTGGAAACTGCCAATTTAACTAGTTTTAAAAAGTTAATTTTTGAATAAGAAAACACAGCCGATAATAGGTGTTTTTCACAGCCAATAACAGGTGGTCATCTTGTCGATTCATTCACATTGTGCCACCGACTCTATGTGAAACATTTAAAAACTGGATTTTCCCAAAAAAAGACCTTGGCTGCGAGCTTATCCTTGGAGGTGCGCACAGATCTGCCCCTCTGCACACCCACGGGAGCTGGAGGGGGCTGCCTGAGGGACCGAAAGGGTTCTTGGGGGCGTGAGCGCTTAGCCTGCTGGCTCCTGTCACATACCGGGGTCCCCGCTCCCAGGGGGGCGAGTACATGTGGGCTCCAGGGCACCTGCCTGGAGGGGCCGAGGGGATGGCAGGCAGACTGGAAAAGGGAGAGGCCAAGCTATGATCTTGACTTGAATCCCCCTCAGAATAGCACATAAGGTCAACCGTCCATGTCAAAAGAGGCCCGGACAAGTATGCTGGTGGCGGAGCCGCCCCAACACCCTTGACCCCACCACTGGCCGTGAGCACGCTGCTCTGGTCCCTCGCTGGCCGCAGGATGAGGAAGTAGTTTTCCCTGTGGGCATCTGAGGTTTGACATGAGGGGCAGGAGGCTGACCCTTCATGCCCCCTCCACTTCCTGTTCCCTAACGGAAGCTTCTCTGCGGCAGGTGAGGTGATAACGCACGGGGACCTGAGATGTGTGCGTGATGAGGGGATGCCCATCCACAAAGCACCCCTGGAGAAGGGGATGCTCATCATCCAGTTCTCAGTGAGTCCGTGTTTAATCCTCCTGGGGCGCGCCGCTAAGGGCCTCGCTCGGGAAGGGGAGTAACTCCTGCTTCTCCCCACTCGCCCTCTGCAGGTGATCTTTCCCGAAAAACACTGGCTTCCTGCAGAACAGCTTCCTCAGCTGGAAGCTCTCCTCCCTCCTCGGCAGAAGGTGAGGGTCACGGATGACATGGATCAGGTGGAGCTGACTGAGTTCAATGCCAACGATCAGAACTGGCGCCAGCACAGGGAGGCCTACGAGGAGGACGACGATGGGCCCCGGGGGGGCGTGCAGTGCCAGACGGCATGAGGTGGCCCCCCGGGCTAGCTCGCGACGATGTAAAGGTGGCACAATGAAAGCGGAATCACTCTAACGGCCTCTGTCTGGGGTGTCCTGCGTGTATGTTCAGCATTCTGTCTTTTCGGGGTTTTTTTGGTTGTAACTTATCGCTTAATTTATATTTAAATGTTTTAAGTGTAAATCACCTCTAGTCTGCACACGGAATCTGTTTATTTACAATTCCAGGATGCTTTGGAGATGCCGGAGACTGCACTGACACTTTGTGCTTCTAGTGGCTTTGCCATAATTCAGTTCCACCCGCTCAGCCCCCGGGAACGTCCAGCCCCACGGGGTGAGCTGGCCCATCTCTGGCCCGGGTTCCCCCCCATCCCTCGCACAGGTCCTAAGGGTGTGATCTCAGGGCTGCCAATGTGACATTTCTGGGTCTAGATTCCAGCCGATCCACCTCGAGTGTGGGTCACGCTGACTAGGCTGCAGGGCCGACTCGGCTCCCAGTGTTCTGTGCCCCCGAGTGACGAATGGGGAGTAAGTGTGTCTGATCACTGCTCTTGGAAGCTTCCAAGCCTCGTGGTGAGGACAAACCCATGTTCTACAACGAAACGCCGAGGAGCTGTCTGCCTGTGCCCCGGACCTTGTTCTCTGTGGTTTTAATGATCTCCTGGTGACGACTTTTACGATGGTCACCCACCAAAGTGCTTATTTGTAAAGAAACAGAAACCTTCCGTGTCCCCAGCAGCCTCCGTGCAGCAGCAGGAGCCACGGCAGGGTGCTGGTGGCTCGGCACGGCACAGCCCACCTCCTGGGTGACGGGAGGGTGTGGAGGACAGGCCGCCTGTTTTCCGGCTCATTCCCCGACTCAGCCTCTCTTCCAGACCATCGCCCCTCTCCCCGCCCAGCCGTAGGCTCCTTGCACGGACTAGTGGCACGTGGCTGCGGTCTGTGTGGGCGCCACTGTGAGTGACGGCTTGTCTGGAGGAGGGCTCGGTCAGTACCTTACTCCTGGCAGGGTGACAACAGTGTATGTATTGGGGTCGCCCGCAACCCATAGCCATTCCCATAGTCGTGAAGGAAATTCACCTTCTGTGCAGCTGAGTCAAAGCAGAGGCTCCCGTCAGCCCCATGGCCACTTGGTGACACAGTACCTGCGAGTGACTCAGACCAGGGACCTCCCCTAGAAGGGTCAGAGGGCAGACCAGACCCACGGCAGGTAGGGTGAGCATCATGTGCTCCAAAATAGGTACATATGGCCCACCTATGCGCCGACCACTGACCGGGACGGAGACGACACCTATTCTTCCAACCAGGCCCACGTGAAAACCCACTTAAAGATGGACCACAAGTGCAGGGTGGTGTTTCTGCGCTGTGACTTCCTAACCAATGACTGCGAGACAGCTGTTTAGTTGATGACGGGGCAGAGTTACATTCAGCTCCTTCCCTGTCACGTAAACGGAATCTGGAGGGTGTTGCTTAAAATTCATCCTACCTGTACATCTGTCACTTTTAAAATTAAAGTTGAGCTGGTATGAGAAACGGCTTTGGTTTTCATTTTCTGGAGCTCAGAAGAGCAGGGTGAGGTGCCGATCTGCCTCGCACTGGTTGGTATAAAGGCTTGGAGTTTCCAGCCACTTCTCTTTGGGGGATCAGTGCATGTACCAGGCAGCAGCGACTGCCAAGAAGAGCAAGCGTAATGGGGAGGGTGGTGGGGAGAGCGGAAGCCTCTGCCGTGACATCTGAGCAGCTACCAGGACGCAGTGAGAGACCCTCGGGTCAGGGAGGGACATCCCAGGCACAGGAAACGCCCAGGGCAGGGCAGGGCGAGGAGGCACGATCAGAAGAAGGAGCGCGGTGCCAGCTACTTACGCGCTCCCCGTCCGCAGGCTGGCTCGTCGGGTCCAGGCGCTCCGGGGTGACAGGCAGGGCTGCGGGCCGCTCGGCACAAGCTTGAGCCTACAGACTCTGTTAAGGCAGCAGTACCTACCAGCAAGCTACAGGCTTCCCTACAATTAGTAGGGAAAAGACAGTGTGGCAGGGGCGTTGCTAATACATCGAGTAGCAGGGCGCCCAGGCGGCAAGGATGACGGGACGGTCCCAGCCAGTCAGGTACCGCATTCCGGATAAGCGGCTCCCTCCCCAGCCCGGGAGCCCAGGGCGAGCCCGCATGTCTAAGCCGGAAGCCCCGGAAGGCCCCGGAAACCTTCGCCCTGGGCCGACGCTCGCTCGCACACAACGTCGCACACAACGACGCCAATGCCTGTCACGGCTCGCCAGTAATGGCAGGGGGGAATGAAGCACGTCGGGAACCGGTGTTGGCATTAAGAGCACTTTACGTTAAAGAACGAACAGCATTTCCAACAGAACGTGAAAAGACTAATGTATCTACGAAACGTAGCTTTTTGCCACTGTAAATGTGGTGTTTCCAACTCGAAAGGGAAGGAATGTCACGTTCAATCTGTGCTTTCTCTCCGCAGCATTAGCCTGGAGACTCTGATGTCTAAACTGGACAATCACAGATGTGAATTTCCTGGTCATCTCCAACAGACACAATTTTTGAGCCATTTCCATTGTATTTTACTCCCCAGACCTGTAAATAAAGGGGGGAAAAAGTTGTACCAACGCCTCCATTCTTTAGGAACGAACACCCTGACTCTGCTGTCGTCATCCTGAACCTAGAAAGCACCGGCGTGAGGGGGTTCTGGTGCCGTCCGAGCCAGTGAGGACCAGGCACTGCCCCCCACCGCCCCAACTGCAGAAAACTCCATTTCTAAATACGAGTCCAGATGCCTACAAACTTTCCACAGGTTCAGAATCCAGGGAGTAACTAAAAGCATGGAGCCCACGAGGGGCCAGCACGGGGTCTCACGTCGCCAGGAAGGGGCCCCGCCAGGACCCTGAGGTCAGCGCCTCCCGGGACGACTGCACATGGTGTCCCCACCCTGACGGCAGCGTGGGCACTGAGCCACACCCCTCCCCAGGCAGCACTGGCGTGGTCAGGGTTTGACCAGGTCAGCCTGTCGCCCTGGCCTGGTGTGCGGTGTTCCAGCCCCGATTCCAGCGTTGTGACTGGGCCAGGCGCTGGTCTCACTTACACTCCAGACACCTTCCTCAGCCAGCAACACGCTCTGACCCCCACACGCAAGACGCAGCGGCAGGACTTAGGCCCGGGAGTGGAGATCAAGGGTAAATGCCCTCAGCTTTATTGGCAACGGTTTAAGATTAAATGTAAAAAAGCGTGAACGATCACGTCAGTTACCTCTGAATGCTTTCCAAAGGGGAAATCCGTGCAGTCATCGTGAAAACGTTTAGAATGTACTAGAAACCACTCTGTACTACCATGGGCATCCATTTTTTCATACTGACTAGTTACCCAGGACCCTGCTACTCAAAGTGTTGAGACAGGAGCACTGCCCGCCTCCCCGGACCCAGTCAGAAATGCAGCTGCTCGGGCCCTCCCACGCCGGCCGAAGGGCCACTGCATTGCCGCCAGATCCCACGCAGGCAGAGGGGTGTCCTGCGAGAACAGAGCCCCGCCTCCAAGCTCAAAGGCCGAAACAGAAGTGACCAATATCGTGGGAGCCAAACAACCTGTAACAGTTCTGCCTTCAGGAACATTCAAAAGAAATTGTGTTTCCTGGGACAGCTCCCCAGATGGCAAGTGCTGACTGCGTTTGGGCAATGGAGGCATCTGAGGGGTGGGCCTTCCTCAGCCCCACAGCCAGGCTGTCCCCAGACACAGGCCCCAGGCGCTCGTCCCCTGGGCGACAAGCCCACGCTTCTGCGGCCTCTGCACAGGGGCATTGCATCTCGTGGGCCACTGGCGGACAGCACATGCCTGACCCCCACACTCCAGATGGTGTACATAGGGACACAGCTGGACGGAGGCCCAAGAGGGCGAGGCGCTCAGGGCCGACAACTCGAGCAGCAAGGTGCGGAGGGGAAGGGTGGGCACCGTGGTCAGGCGGTGCCAGCAGCCCACAGACAAGGAGCGTAAACGTAACGACGCCATACCTGATCCTGGTGATCGAAGAAGGTGTGAACGCAAGTCCTCGTTCCAACATCCCAGACTTTCACGCTTTTGTCAGATGAACTATTTTAAAAAAAGGAACGTTAGTATCAAAAACAGTTTTCAGACTGGTCTGAAGTTGGAAGGAATGTGATTAAAAATTCCACACTCCTTTGCTCACTGACCCTCTGCGTGTGTGCACCTAGGAGTTGGCCAGGGTGCTGGCATCACTGGGCAGCCTTCCTGCTCACAGCGCGGCCACGTCCTTGACACTGTGACCTGCTGGCCCTCACAATAAGCGTTCTCACCAGGATGCTGTCATCCCTTAAGCAACTGTAGGTAGAAGACTAGATGTATAAGGAGAAACTAAGATTTGAGCTCTTCGAAAGAATCCACCTCTGTTCCAACTAAGGACAACTAACTTCACAACTTTAAAAAGCACTGCAGAGAATAAAAGCGACTGAATAAAAAACGAGCCATGCCGCCTTGAAACATTAAGGCAATTCGTACATTTTAGAAAGTGCTAAGAATCATAAGTACCTGGAAACAAAGTGAGTGTCATCAGGACAAAATGCCACGTTCAGCACCCAGGATGCGTGGCCACTCAGTGTGCCAGCCAAGTTGGCGTGTTGTCTGAAACAGGAAAATGTCAAACAGAACGGATGTGTTAACTCTCAGAATAAGTCACTGAAGTGGAAGGTGTACCATTAACTCTGCCCGTCCCCTTGGACCAACCCTGCTACCCTTATAACGACAGTGTGAGTGTCCCCAAACTCCCTTTCCAATGCAGGAGCATCGCCCACTGCAGAAACAGGACCTTATGATGGCATTAAGCCGACTGTGTTCACGCCACCGAGAGCCAAGAATAAGAGCAGAGAGCTTAGCAGCTCAAGAGGCAGGAGGAGCCGCACTGCGGAGGCTCAGCGAGTCGGCTAAGATGAGGGCGCTGAAGATGGCAGGGGCCACCTCGGGATGGCATCGGGGTCCACACGGGGCGGAGCCTGCACTCCAGATGTGCTTCTGACCTACCCAGACATTTAAAATCAGCGAGCTCACAAGGGACAGGACGCCTGAAAGAGGAGGAAGGGTCTGACCCTGCAGGCAAGCCACGCACGTCTCCTCCGCGACGCTCGCTCAGAGGCGGGGATGGGGGTGTGTGTGTGTGTGTGTGTGCGTGCGTGCGTGCGTGCGCGCGCGCGCCCGTCCATCCAGGGAGACACAGTCTGCTGTGGCCTGAACACTCCTTGACAGTAACAGGAAGACACAAAACGGGCCCTGGTGTTGAGCGAGGAGCCTTGAATCGTGACAGGTAACTTACACGTCATAGATCTTGATGTAGCCATCATCTGAGGCTGTGACCAGGAGCTGAGAATCCGGGGAGAAGGTCAGGGAGCGAATGGGCATAGCATGGCCTGAAAGCGACGGGGCCAGTTAACGTGGCGAAGCACCGCCTCCCGGCCCCTCACATGGGCTCCTCCCCGGCCACGTCCCTCTCAATGACACGAGGTGCACCGCCCAGGTGCTTCACTCAGACAGGGCGGTACCAACTGGACCCTTCCTCCTAGTGCTCTAGAAGCGTCCGCATAACCAGACCCCTCCTCTTGGAGCCGTTTCTCGTCGGTCTCCTTCCCTGAACCACTGGGCCCCAGTGCACATCGCTTACGAAGAACTCTGCTGCAGACGCGGCCAACGTGGAGACATGCGTTGCTTCAAACGGGACGCGCTTTCCCACCCGACCCTGTCATCGGTGAAGGGTACAGGGGGAGGCAGCGTGCTCACTCGGAAACACAGGAGAGTGCGGGGCGGAACTGTCCCTCCACCCGCCCAGAGGCCACCACACGGAGGTGGGCACAGCACCTTCGCCCGCCTTCCGACAGCCAACGGAAAGGGTTTGCTTCCTAACCACAACGGGACCGTCGTCTGGCTGAGACACAGCAACTCGTGAATAAATGACGCGCGTTTCACACGGGTACGAGGACTCGGGAGTCCAGGTGAAAACTATGGTGAGAAAACTAAAGCGCGAGGCACTTCCCATTTCTAACGGCACCCGACGGTTCGCAAACCTAACGCTCACTTGCCATCCAGCGGCAGTTCAATGAAAGGATCATTCTTCCTCTGTGACCTGATAACCCCCTTTGCACAAAACGAAACGAGCCGCACCTTCCAGCGTATGCAGGAGCTTCCCAGTCGCAATATCGAAAATGTTGATGATCCCGTCTATGGCCCCGCTGGCCAGGTACTTCCCATCAGGGCTCTGTGCAGGGAACACGTGGGGACCGTGAGGTTCCGCGCTCGACACGTCTCCTGTTGGCTGCAGCTGTCACTGGCTGGCCAGCAAAGCACGCCAGTGACGCCGCCGCTGCAGTGACTGCGGAACCTGCAGCGAGGCACACGACAGGCTGGAAGAGTGAACCAACAGTCAGAGGGAGAAACGAGGGCGCGGTTTCCTTACATATGCGATGCTGAGAATGAATTTCCCTCTCGTGTCCAAAGAATACTCCTTTTTCCCACTTTCCACACCGAAAATGTTCACTTTCCCCACGTGGGTTCCTGTGGCCAGATACTGGGAATCAGGAGAGAAGGCCAAAGTCCAGGCGTCCACTGAAAAGGAAAAAAAGGGAGAAAGTAGTGAGAACAGATGCGACCTTAATCCAAAAACTTTTAAACATTGGCGGGAACGTAAAATGGTACGGCCGCTTCGAAAAGCCGTGTGACAGTTTCTTAAGTGAAAACGAACGCTTATCATAACACCCGGCAAGTCCACTCCTAGGCATTTCCCAAGAGAAATGAAAACGCGGGCGCGTGCAGACTTGTACACCAATGTTCACGGCAGCGTGACTCATAAGAATGAAACACTGGAAAGCACCCAGGGACCCATGGACAAAACGTGGCACATCCTCAGCGTGGAGCACCACACAGCAGTACGGGACAAACCGCGGTGCGCCTCGGACTCATGCCGAAGCAAGGATGAGACGTCCGACGACACAAGTCCACTCGCCAACTCTTTCAAAAAGCCAAAGCTAGAGACAAAGTATGCCAGCGGCCGCCTGGGCTGTGGGCGGGAACACGGAGGGACTAGGAACGGGCGTGAGGGGACGTTCTGGGGCGCAGCAGTGTTCGAAACTGAACTGGAGCGATGGCGGCACAACCGTAAAATCTGCTGCAACTCGCCGAACTCTGTCGTTACACCGCATCGATTTCACAGGGCGATTACAGCGCTGAGGTTTCCCCTCGACAACGCCATGCGGGTCGGGGTCCGGAAACACTCACACGTAAACCTGCGACACGACCGAGTGTTTTCCGCAAATTTATAGAAAATAGTTTTTAAAAAAATCGACTAGTTCTAAGTTACCCCGCACAACTCAGCTGACCTCGAGGGCTCTACCCAGGCGCTGTCGGCAGACCCCTGCGCGGCCGCGTGGGCCTGACGGCATTCTAGCCTCTCTCTCCTCAGCTGTGCGGACCCCACAGAGCTCTGAGAGCCTCTGGGTCAGCGCCCAGAGGCCAGGGAACGATCCAGGTGTTCGCTGCCCGCCACGCCCCCTCTCACAGGGGACAGACCCGCCCTCAGTCCTGCCACAGACACTGCTGGTCACGTCACAGGGAAACGAGGGGGAGGCTCGATCCCCAGGCCCTCTCTTCATCCCCCGCACAGGGCTCAAAGAGGACATGCCCTCCTCGGCCCCAGGACAGGGCAGGGGAGGCCCTGACCCATGCGAAAGGGGCTCCCATCATGAAGGGTCAGCGCCACGTCTCGTTGTTTCAAAATAACACATACGTTCAAAGTAATAACAACTCATTTAATCGTTTACCTTATGAAATGTTTGTTTCAAAAAGGAAATTAACTTCAGAAGTACTCACTTAACCGAAAAGATCTGAAAAAGCTTTTATGATAATCTCTCAAGGAGCTGCTTTTTACTCTTTATCCCTAAATGACAACGGCATCTATTCTAAAAGGATTATGTTTCTTATTCCTACCTGGAAGGAGCTGTTTAGAGAGACTATGGTTATCAGAAAATTTGATTGTTATTCTTTGAAGTTTAATGACACTTCTGAATTACTTTTACATTTCTCTACTAACTGTTTTACAATATAGAACTTTAGCATCAAGTGTCTTCTGCTCAAAAATGAAGGCATTTTATTCCTCAATCAAACCCTGCACGTGAGCATTCAGACATTTTTTTGGTCCCTAAGCCCTGTCCCTGGCTGAGAGAGGAGCTCGTCTTCACTGTGGGGCCGCGACCCTCGCTGCCACCGCCTCCTCAACAAGCACTTCGGGACAGCTCCCGCCTGGCTGGGCCACCAACGCAGGGCCCGCCCGCCCTGTGCACTCCCTGTACATCCGGGACGCTCTCCCGTTCCTCTCTCTGTCTCTTGTGGTGGTGCACATTCTCCAGGCGCATTTTCAAGGCAGGCACGATGTGCGTGTCCATGTCCCTCAGCATCGGACCTAGCCTCAGCACAGTGCGTCCGTCGTCAGGTGAGTCTGGCCACTCTGTACCGGCTGGCAACAGTGCTGTGCCCGCTGCCCTAGAGCAGAGTCCCACCGCGCTCTGCGGGCTGGCTTGGGGACCCCCACCTTCTATGAGCGACGTCAGTGGGTAAGGACACATGCAAACACAATCACCTGGGGAATCGGAGTGTGTCTGGGGAGCTCTTTCCACATACACACCCAGCCCACACACCCCGGTCCTGTAATTCGGTGGGTCCCAAAAGAGGACTGGGCATGTGTCTGTCTCTTACAAAACCACAGCAGTAAGTCACAGACAAGGAGCACTGCCTCTGAGGGGTAACTCAGGCTCCAGACAACCCAGCCTCTTACGCGCTCTGGGACCGCCATGCCATCCGGCATAAGGGCGGCCTGGAGTGGCTCCTGGGTGGAACGGAGAGAGGCGAGTCTGCCCGGGGCTCCAACCAGGGCGTCACGTCAAGGACACACCTGGGCGGCCCTGCTGTCATCAACCCACAAAGGAGCGTGCCCGCCTGGGCTGGGTTTTCCGCACTGGCTGGCGGCTACCGCATCCTAGCAGACAGGCACTTACTTACAGGTGACTAAAACGTCGTGCAGCTGGTTCCACAGCTGGTTCCACACTGGTCCAGCTCAATTTAGTCACTTCCCCCATGACCCAGATGTTTACCAAGGGTGGTGGACACGACTGTGCTGTCCTACAGAACTGAAGACCAGACTCTGTTTCTGTAGAAGTTTCGTATCTATCACGCACTGGAAATCAGGCATTGAACCATAATGAGTCGAGAGTGCCAGCACACAGACCCGTGAGGAAGCCCGGCCTTACGCCATCCGAGCAGAGGTCCACCTCCCAAACCAGCAGTTCTCACACCCAAGGCTCTGAGAGCTGCCTACTTTTTAAATAAGCTTAGCGCCGAAATTCACCTGGCAGGAAAAGCCGACCGGACGCGACGAAGGCCACTGAGAACCTCCACCTATCTCTCAGGACGAACACTCGTGTTTAGTTGCTGATGTTAATGTTGACTTCTTATGCTGTCCCGGACTCACCAAAGGTGTCACATACATACAGTTCAGGCACCTGCTTCCTTCTCTCAAATCCAGTCACTCCGAACTGCAACACCGTCTACACCTAAAGGTTCTGAAAAGGGACAGCGAACCTGCCGTCTTCCCCAAGAGCAAAGCCCTTACCAGGTCCTGCATCTATGGACTTGATCTGTTTGCCGTTTTCCAAGTCCCAGAGACGAATGTGAGCATCGAGAGAACTGGACGCAGCGATGGGCAGGGTGTGGCTGATGTCCACGGACACCACGCCCAGCTGATGTCCCTCCAGACTCCACTGCAGGTCCAGCCTCTCGTCACGCCTTCAGTGGGGACAGAGAAACGGAGTTCACACACAGCTCACTGCACTGCCTGGGCCCCTGTGACATGCATTGCCACAGAACACCAAAGGCCACCCAGTTTTACTCATGGGACTTTTTTAAAACTAGAGGTCTTGACGGTGAACAAAAGAACGAGCGAGAACACGCTGCCTCTCCGCAGCGACAGACCGCTGCTGCCGTCCGGCCCAGAAGACCGTTACCGCTGCCCTGACTGCGGCTCGGGACCCCCGAACCCCAACTTCCCAGGCTGTGAGGAACGGGGGTACTCACCATTTCCAGACCTTCACCAGGTCATCCAGCGATCCCGTGACCACCGTCTCAGAGTTTTCTTTCTTGTTTGTCCCCCAGGCAACTGACCAAATGGCATCATCGTGGGCTAGAACGGAAAGCGTGTCATTTAAAAAGTCTTCGTGCAACTTCTGAATCGAACGCGCTGCATAAAATGGGGCTGAAACACCGTCCTGGCAGTTCTCAGGCAAGTCTACGTGAACCCGCTTCGTTGCTCTGCAAAGTGCGTTCCTAGGGAGCTTTGACCACAACTGTGCGGCCGCACGTGAAACCCGGGGGTTCCGAAGAGGCCACCGGCCTGGAGCACAGGTTTACCGGGTGGGGCAGGGGTGATGCTACGTCCTTCCCACTTTGGCACGCTGTCCGGCACACGTCCCCGTCTGCCACAGCTACTACTGACCGAAATGACCGATACCAGCGGGGAGCCCTCCCCCCGCCACCCAGCAGCCAAAAACGTGACCGTGACTTGATAAGGGCTAGCCCTTAGAGACCTCCGGGAAGCAGCAGGCGACTCAACCGTGAACAGCATTTCGGTGCTAAGCTTATTTAAAGCAGCGCCTACTACAGTCTCCACATGGGCTGCTGTAGCCACACGTCCGTGATGCTTAACGGACCAGGTACTACAACAGCCTTTTCTAAGTGCCATGTCAACTAATCACCATGACCCTACGAAGCAGGCACGGTTCATGTCACCTTCGTTCACAGACCAGAAACTGGAGGCTGAGAGGCCGAGCGGCTCACCCAGAGTCAAAAGCTAAGGGGCAGAGCCAGGGTTGCAAATCCAATCTGTCAACTGGAGTCCGCCTTAATACTCTAAGTGTGCGAGCTGCACATCCAGTGGGCCACACTGTCGGGTCTGCAGACCTGGTGCATGTGTGCGAGTGGAACAAGTGCGTGTGGAAGCTTCCTTTACAATCGGCTGCGATTCCTCAGGGACATCTTTCGGAGGCGTGAATGTAAGGTACCCAACTAAACGACGGCGAGCTACACGCAGCATCATGGCTTCAGCCGCCATCCCCACCCGACCTGAGCCTGCTAGCTTGCCACCTGGATGGCCTTAGCAACTACTGACCCATTCCAGCCAACCTGGGAGAAAGTTTTAGCTTCGACTTCAGACCACCCGTTACCCATGGAGAGTGGCAGAGCC